CAACCAAGGTTCACATAGGCTTTTTGCCTTCACAGTTCCTTATCGTATAGAACGTACCTGTTCTTTAAAACTAATCTTTCTAAGACTATAACGGCAAAAAATAAATGACACAAGCCTTAATTGTTATCGTTTGATTGCTAGCACATATACAAGTCCCGAGCAGTTTCGGTATATCCAGATCATCTTGTGTATCTCCATGAATAGTCTTCAGCGCTGGGGCTCCATTGAATGCAACTAAATAGGATCTGATTTCGACTTTGATAGACGTATGCCTTGCTAGTTTCTGGGCGAAAGGGTCGTTGGAAAGCAACTGTGAGCGTTTTGCACTTGCTGTTATTATCGACTGTCGTTGCAGTTCTTCAAATGAAACCCACGTATTCGGAAATCAAGCTTTACCTCAGTCAGAAAATTGGCGGCATTATTTCTAGCTTGCATGAAACAAAGTCTTATTGATAGTTAACGATTTCGGCAAATCATGAAAACTACTGAGTTGCTACTGAGCATAGCTAACTATCATTGGCACAGATATGTATATCTACATGTCATACTAAATTATGCTGTCGTATCTTCATGCTTCTGCGCAACATTTCTATAGTTGTTTTTAAAAAAACCGCGTCATTGTTGTCTCCATAGCGCACTATCGAAGAACAACACTATTGCCAACGTGACTCAAACGCTTGATCAGTGTCAAACTCAGCAGTCACTTACGACTCTCATCATGCGAAAGTTTTGAATATTATCCTGTACTTTCTATGGACATGCAGGTTGCTTTGAATTCATTTGGCAAATTTACTTAGAAGCATAGCGGAGTAACTGTTCTAATAATAATACTCATAATTTATGAGATTTCTGGATGCATTGTGTTTTTAAATGTATCAGGCGCCTATAGATCAGTGATACGTAGGTACTATCCATCAGACGACTACTGGATGCAATGCATTTCGCTATTCCTTGAAGGAAAACACGTTTTCTATCTTGTTGTGCAGAATGTGCTGCTGGAATGCTGAAATGCTTAAGAAACAAATCGTGTGCTTGTACAAAAGAAATTCACAGAGACACGGTACAGCTCACGATTGTGCACCAAGTAGCTGCGGCTGATAGGGATTTTTTTTCGTTCGAGAGCCAGTTAAAGCGTTCAAGAAGAGCAAGGCAGCGACGACGGCTCTTGGCTGTAGAAAATACTAGAGCCTGCTTCGGTATAGCTCGGTTGATAGTCAAATAGAACCGTCTGTAAATTTCGTATATTATCAGGCTCAATCCAAGATGGCTCCGCACTCGAATTAAGCAACTGTATGCCATTTCTTTTATATATGGAACATATTGGTGTTGTGCAATGCCAGTATTTATAACAGAATCACAAATAGAAATGCTTCTTTGAACTGCTGTGGAGAGGGTGGGAGGAAAAAATAAGATGGCAGGTCAACGGAGCTAGCAGAGCAAAGAAACTGATCTGTAATAATTTTTTGACTGCGTCAGAGGGTAGAAGGAGGCAGAGTCACCGTATCCATGAGTACTCTCCAATTTTGTATCAAAATGAATGATTCTAGCGCTAACCAGCTAAAAAAATTTTAGCTAAAAAGTGCACTGAATTATGCGCGTTTAAAATAAATTGTTGGACAGTCAAAGCCCGTAAAAAAGTTCATCGGCGTGTGTTCTCATACAGTTGTCTTAGTGCGTTTATAAACGGCTTAGTGTTGAGGGCCGGTGGCCGATCAGTACCATAACTTTAGTATTTATATTGATTCTTCATTGTGTCTGCTCGTGTATTTTTTAATAACTTTAGGAGAATCAGGCCATATTTCAGATGGGAACTTTAACGTGACAGAAACTGTTCTCCTGTTTTTTTCAGAATTGTCAAGATGATGCTAGCTTGAGTGATCGAGTGCTTTAATATGTGAATCGTTTCCATAATCATCAACGTCATGTTAAGAGATTTTATGGTATTTCCGAGTACGTTTGCCAATAACCCATCCACCTGCACGACTCCATCCTTATTCTTGTACGGAATATATCGTAGCGGAAATTAACATTTACAACAAAAGTATAACCTGTCGATCACGGTACGGATTTTAGCATTTCACATACCGCAAAAAGTTAATGAGAATTAAGTTGAAATTGGCTCCTTAGTTAGTATCTATTCGATTCGATCAATTTATCTTCTATTTTCAGACTTTAATAAAAGCTTACCGAAATTCATAATTTGTCCCAACGTTTTCCAATGATTCTTCTCCCTGGTCGACGTTGGACAAATGCACATGAATCGAGAACGGTTTTCGGTTTACGACTAAGGAAAATACATTTCATTATCACATAGATACGATCACCATCGAACACAGAGCGTTGTTTAATCCGTGGCTGTCGTAGCGTTTCCGTCCATCGGCGGATAGGCGCCCTGTCTTGCGATCGATTCAAAGACGCGAGCGCTTCAGTTTTGAGCTTGTACGAAAGCCATACGTTCGTACGCGATAAACTGATTTCTAGAAGCTCGAATTATATCGTTTATAGTCCTCTTGCTAAGCGCATACCACAGGCCGAATTTGACTTCGAAAAAGCTAATTGAACACGTTGTAAACAAGAAATGGTTGGAAGTACCCGTTCGAGTTATGCCAGCAGTGACGCCATTAGGGACTGGGGCCTCAAACGGCTGGTTTCCAACTAAAATCACTCTCACGTGTCCCTAACTTGAATGAGTGAAAATGTTATAACTGTTACAAGTAGTGAAGACAATATAGAGCTTGATCGACGATAATAATCGAAGATAAATAGGTGTTATTTGTGTTACGTCTGTACTCTGTGTTAGCAACGATTGTTCTGCTACACGCTGTTATATAAAAGTACGATGTTCTATACGCTTCCTTTTTTGTTAATTGAATGCTTTGAAAGTGCTTCTCTCTGTTCCTATCTGAACTACGAAGCCACACATGGTTGCTATTTCTTCCATCGCTTCTTTTCTTTCAAACTTGCCTAATATTGGCAACTCTTTTGCGCTTCATGGATACTTGTCAGTGTGCCGAACAAATGGCCGATCCCTCTGCCCCAATTATTTCTTTACTATCGTGTACCTCTAGCATACACATAGGTCGTTATCTTATTAAGGTAGCAGACTCCCATCAGCATAGCCTCTTAATTGAACTATTTTCACTACTATCTCGAGAGGCGGGCTTTCGTAAATTAAGAGTAACGCTAAACTTTCTAAATATTTCATCTATGGAATCGAAACTGGTCCAACCGGAATACCGCATTTTGAGGATTTTGTATTTATACTAATCCAATCAGATTAAATCCCTATTTAGCTTGCGTGCACACCTTGAAATAGCAAAAGCTTCAGATCAACTTGCCAGTGAATAGTGTAGAAAGGAAGGAAACTATTTTGAAGGAGGATTCATCAGTAAATCCCAACAGAATAATGAGGAACTACGAAATGTCTGCGAGATTCTCATCCTGGTGACGGATACAGACATGTAGCTAAAAACCACCCTACTCAATTTGTTAACTTCTAGAGGAGATTCAAGGAACTTCAAAATCCGGCGAACCCTATCGAGCAACGCAATCACAGGACTAATTTAATTGTAATTGGGGGACCCATTGGAACCGAAAATCTGAATGCTGGTATAAAATTGCAGATAAATTCGGTTCCATGTACTATAACAATAGAAGTCTATGCTGGGATAATTATCACCAAGAAATAATGGACGATTTTTACGGCCAGATCAAGTGCAATGGATAGCTTAACATTTGCGATAACATCCAATAAGGGTGGATCAACTGAGTTTAACTCAAAATATATTTTCGTATATTTAACTACCAATGTTAATTGCACTAAGTGGTATAATTTTTATGATCCCAGCTATATGGAAGGAATAATATACTTCTACCACGACACAAATCCTACGCCAAAATGTGTATCGTTATAAATGCGATAGCCTCGAGGAATTGGAGGTAGAAATAAAAACAAAACTTATAATTATTGATCTTTTTATTTCATTAGAGTAAATGTTATACATGTATTTTAATTTAATGTCAACTGCTCCCAATCCTTTCTTGATTTCGTCTGCTGCGGATGATTGCAAATGTTGGGGGGCTCCTACAGTTGTAAACATTCCTAAGTCATCGTCCCTATTATACCTTTATAATTCCTAAAATTTATATTGGTCATGGGCAGTGTCTTGCTTGAGGTCGATCCATCTAGGTCATTAGTTTTGAAGGTGGGCTGACCTTGACCTGATAGGGTTTTTACATGTACATTATAAGTGTGTATGAGTGCACCTTAGGTGGGTCTTTCGGTTTAAGACTCATATGAATTAAAGCTTCACTTGTTTCAAAATCTTTGTCAGGGTCCTTTTTGATTGTATGAGATAGAATAGGAATTTGCTTTTACATCTCGTAATTAAGTTAGTAAGATGTCGGGTACTAGCGTTATTTTTACTCTTCTAATTTTTACAACAGTAAGCAAAGGCAGATAGCTGGATGGACGTGGAATATCGGTAGGAGTCTATATACCCTTGCCTTCCTGTTTAGGCGGTTCTATTGTGCCACATGCGGAGTTCCACAAAGCTCACACAAAGGTCACGAAAATACGCTTCTTAGTGAATCTCTTATACGTTCTACTCCGGCGATATATATTCCTTCCCCTCCGCTGTTTAGTGTGAGTATTAGAACGACGATGGCGCCGGCGTAAAGTCATGAGGTGCCTCTGATGTACACAGGTGAACACTTGAGTGATAATAATCAGAAGGAAAATGTGATAGCCCCGGCGACTGTCGGCCAACAGTAACCTCCCAACCGCCTGTCCGTGCGAACTTTCCTCCATAAGAAGCATTTGGAGCTATGCCCAACGGCACAAGTGGAATAGTATTGCTCGTCTTATCTCAGGTGCTAGACACTGACATAGATAATCCATTTATTCCAGAGACTAGTATAAACACAACAACAATGGTGGCGTTACGTACCATTCAACCCAGGACGATTCGACTGTAAGCTTGCTTAAGAGACACGATGATAAATTTAGGGTTAATAAATTTAAGAAATCAAACGTTTGTATATATATATATATATGTAAAATTTACTGTGCTCGTATTTTAGAGCTATACCTGGCTATATTCCATAAACAGATTCAAAAATATTATTATGGACTTACGTGTTACACCTAAATTTCCTCATTTTGTTTTTTCTTAAGTACCGATGAGTGAAGTATTTTAACATCGGATATGTTAGTCCAGGAGTAGATCCTTCACAGAAACAAACAGTTGCTGTAAAAAATCTATCATGACCATTTCTATCAAGTATTGCATCGGTATTGAACTTATTTACATAATAATAGCAATCAATCAAAGAGTTCGCTCTATTTTCGAACTGGCTGATTGTAAGCAATTGAAGAACGTAGAAGAAAAATATCAGCTAAGTTTTATTCCGTTTAACATGACGAACAACAGCGGCAGCATATATAACAAAAACTGTCTAATTTATAAGTTGCAGACACTAAAAGTAATGTTTCTAGTTCCACAAATGGTACCGTTAGGCGTTACTTCAAACGTCTCGCATTCTGTGTAACATAAATTTTCTTCACACGAGGGTTCGGACTGGTTTTCGTAGGTGTCCCTAAATCAGGTATACAAACACGCTACCACTGCATTATTGCGAAAATAGGTTCCATACACAGGCAATATCGATGTATCGTCAGATATTGTAAACAGTATTTATCGTAAAAGGATCGTTTATACCCTATAGATCGGATACTTCTGTGCAACAGGAAATTTTAGATGTTTCGACTTTGAAGTACTAACTCTAATGAACGTAATGTATTCATTACTGCGCTTATACTAATAGATTTTTTTTGCGGTGACTGCTGAACTCGCCTGGGACCGGTACAAAATCACCGTTTTAAAATTCGCGCCAAAATACGTGCACAGTGTGAAAATCAAGTGTGCTTAATTGTAGTGGCTCTACGAAAACGTCCCACTAAAAACATAAATGTTAAACATATCACAGCAATAGCTTCACAAATAATACTACCGTTATTAATGATATTATAATAAAACTAGATTAACACTGATTTATTCTACGGCCATAATTAGGTTTCCTATACAGAAACACGAGTCCGCTAACGTTTTGGCGTTTACCATATTTAATGTTTCCGAAATTCATTCACCACGCTGGTGTACCTGTAGTAATAATTAATCATACATTACTTTTTTATTAGTTCCTTCAGTAATTTAAGTTAACTTTAGATTCTTAGTCAACTGAAAATTCTTCTATCAGACATATCGGTCTGTAGATAGCCAGACTCAGAAGCCACATTTAGCTGTGCACTAGGTGTTGCAATATGGTATAAAAATACCAGTATATTCCCAAATTGTGTGTTCATAAGGTCAACGATTAAAGCAATATGACCTTTTTTCGTCAGACAGAAAATATTTGAATAAACAAGAATTTGTACTTGGGGCAAAAATGGATACATCTTGTGTGGAAAATCTTAAGGTGAACCGGTGCTACGCATACATTTAAGCAATATACCTATTTTCGGCAGGAAAATTCTCCATGAGGGTTATGTGCTATTTCGAGTAACATTTTTAACTAATTTGATAGGCCTGAATTAAGTAATCCACTGAAAAGTATTTTTTGACTATTAACAGTATAAAATCCGCTATGCCATCATGATAAACAGCCGCACTGTCTCTATGTGATTTCAAACGATGCAGCACAAATCAAAGATGGGCTTTATCTTATCTTCACGTTTTCAGGCCTTCCTCTTGAGTTAGTTGTTCATCCCGCTGCAACGCAGCCAAGTGTTGCATGTAACTATCGAAATAGCTAGTGCGTCTCCCACACGGACTATGCCTAATGTATATTTGTTAATCTAGTTGCTGTTGGGGATCTTGTAGACGGCAGATGCTAACCGTATGAGTTAAAGCAAGTAGACATCGAAATAGTTTTTTTTTCTGTTTACAACTTTAGGCGCGTTATTGTGATTCTTTTGTCCTCTATTAGAAGGACAATGGGTTTTTTTTTTAGTTTATGCACGCGGTAGAGCCATGTTTCTTTTTTTTTTTTTTCAATAGAGTTTGCCAAACTTTCACTAATATAATTTTCACTAATATGTACTAGATAAAATATTTGTCTGTGCTTTTAAGGATTCGATTCCGTATATACACACCATGGATGTCAATGAATTAAGGTACTTTAGGCTTTTTAGAAAAACATTCAAGCGACGTTTGTACATCGCTCTAATGCATAAATGCAGTAACGTGAATCTTTCATCAGCGACGAGACTCGTTTCTTTATAACAACGTGGGGGCAACTTTAAAATCTCTATGGTTGCTATTGCTCTTTGATGCTTGCGATCAGTAAAATTGTGAGTGGTAATGAAAATGTCATAAGTTGCAATCAGACGCTAGCCGTCGCCGCCGGTGTTCCATTTTACGCACTTAAATACAGATCATTGTCGCCATCTCAAAACAATGCCTATGAGAGAGGGTATGTGCTCATATAAACATTTACATTTCGTATGTATATGATGTTAAACGCTTGCGTCCGCCATTACCAACTACTGTTAATATCATCGCTGTTGTTGGCGCCGTGTTCTGGAGTTCTATCGTGATGCCGTGAATTGCGGCTGGTGTTAGTGATTTGCATGCTATTCAAGTAATTGTTATTCATTAATTTTCACATACGCCATTTTGTGTAAAACTCCAGTCGTACATTTTGTGTCGTCTATTTATGCCCAAGAACCCCATCGGCTCCGGCCTTCAAGCATACCGCAATGGGAGTACCGGCATTTTTTCGTTGGCTATCTCGCAAATATCCGAACATTATTGTACACTGTGTCGAGGAGAAAGGCCATTCAGTCGATGGCAATGCGCGTGTCAATGTTGACACAAGTAAACCAAATCCGAATAATGTCGAGTTTGATAACCTCTATTTGGACATGAACGGTAACTGAACACTCCTAAGTCCTTTATGATATATGAGACCAAACCAATGCCATGAATCTCCTTAAGTGTTTGCTCTTGTTAGATACATTTATCTATAGATAAATCAAAAATAAATCAAAAAAGTGATAACGAATTCTCAAGTTATTTTTATAATATATTATATATTGACCATAATCTCTTAGCAACTCTGCAAATCATTTGGCGCCTAATTTTATTTTAGGCTGTGCAAAATATAATGTTGATTGTGTAGCATTTAAATATTGGTTTTTGAGCATCCTGTGTTAATGAGTATTAAAACTGAGTTAAACTCGTATTAAAGCGACTAAAGATTCCGCATGAACATATACAATCGTGTGGTTCTGAGTGACAACTTTATAAAGTATGGAGCATCCCCATAGTTTGATAGTCCTAGTTGGCTATTTCAAGGTTTTCGAACGTTAGCTTCGTTCTACTCTATTGTGCTAATATACCCTCAGGAATTATTCATCCATGCTGTCATCCAGAAAACAAACCTGCTCCTCGGAACGAGGACGAAATGATGGTGGCCATTTTCGAGTATATCGACCGTATATTCAGCATTGTTCGGCCACGCAGACTGTTGTACATGGCCATCGATGGAGTCGCTCCGCGGGCTAAAATGAACCAGCAGCGCTCTAGAAGGTAAAAGCGCGGATATGATCTCCGCGTAATTATGGAAATAACAACACAACTGATCTCTCGTTGAAACTGACAACTGAATGATATCCGAGATTCTGTGATCTGTAACAAGGGATAGATGACTTCCGAGTGAACAATTTCAAAATCTCGTTATTTATATCAATCAGATGGGCATCCAATGTGGTGAATTTCTTTAAATTAAACTAAGAAATGCAAAGTAATGAATTACTCTAATATTTTGCAGGTTTCGAGCATCAAAAGAAGCTGCCGAAAAAGCAGAGGCAATGGCACGACTGAGGACAGAACTTACCTTAAAAGGCTATCATTTGCCGCCAGTGAAGGCACCCGAAGAACACTTCGACTCAAACTGCATTACGCCGGGAACGCCTTTCATGGACAGACTGGCCAAGTGCTTGCATTATTATATCCATGATCGACTTAATAATGATCCTGGTTGGAGAAACATTGAGGTATTGGATGTCGTACATGTAATACTGCTTCTAGTAATACTACAACTACATGAAGACGGAAAAATATAGCATTAGCGCTCAATATGAGTCGCTTTAGGGCCTCTGTTGGCGTACATTGGTAATTTATGCAATGTAACATTAGCCGCAATCGTCGCCTTATTGGTTTGTGCCTGCTTAAATCTTTATGATCGACTATGCATTTGAAAGGTAAAACTTAAGCTTAAGTTACAAGTTGAACTAACACCGTAGAACATAAAGGTGATTATTATCATAGTGAACATTTTAGGACTCGACAGACAATAAAAATAGGATTGTTATGCTTTTTCTACTATTTCTTTTATTCTAGGTAATTTTATCCGATGCCAACGTACCAGGGGAAGGCGAACATAAAATCATGGACTTCATTCGTAAGCAGCGTTCGAATCCTGCTCACGATCCCAATACAAAGCATTGTCTCTGCGGGGCTGACGCTGACCTCATCATGCTTGGTCTTGCGACTCACGAGCCCAACTTTACAATTATCCGGTAGATAGTCGAATACTGACTACGACTAATAGGAGGCAATCTGTTTTATTAAGGAGAAAGGTTTAGGCAAATTGTATTTCTCTTTGTAGAAATAATAAAAGTGGTTTTTAGTCTATGAGTAACCTGTATCATTTTGCTACCATAGGGAGGAATTCAAACCCAACCAGCCAAAACCTTGCGAGTTATGTGGTCAACTCGGACATGAGATGAAAGATTGCATGGGTTTACCTAAAGAGGTGGCGTCACAAGCTCAAATAGAGAAACCGCTTGGCTCTGAAACTGAATTTATATTCATCAGGTTTGTACTACATGTTTTCTGCACGTAGAATCGTTGCCGATCTTCGAAGTCATGTTAATTTTGAATGGAACTCTATTTCATTATATTATTGCTCCAAGATCTAAATGGTCTGAGTCTCACTAGAATCTCCGGCGTCTCTTCGGCGGTGAGTCACTTCCGCGTAACAACGTTTGCGAGTCCCATTTTCAGTTTTCGAAATCTGAACGATTTCAAGCTTACAACGTTATTCTCGTGTTTTTTTCTTTATGTTAATTTGTTTATAGATTAAATGTATTGAAAGAGTACCTGATGAAAGACCTGCATATTGAGGGCCTGCCATTCAAGTGGTCAACGGAGAGGGCGATCGACGATTGGGTGTTCTTGTGCTTTTTCGTTGGTAACGATTTTCTGCCACATTTACCTTCACTTGAAATTCGTGAAGGTGCTATCGATCGTCTTGTACGAATTTATAAGGAAACTATTCATAAGACGAAGGACTATCTCACGAAGGTTGTATGCGCTTAAGAAGATTATCAGACGTAGACTTATGCGCCATTAAAGCCTGTCAGTTTAAATACTTTGTGTTTAAGTTTACTTGGGGTTCCACTGTAATCGGTAGAACCACATAATTAATTGTCTCTAGACCCAAAGTGTGCAATGCTAATAAATCATAATGTTGTAAAAAACACTAGCAAAAACATCTCTCAAATCTCTTAGCTTTTTCAAATCCCGTCAAATACTACAGTTTTTTTAAATAAATGACAAAGCTCTGTTTTTTTAGACCGTACATGGTAGTTTTTTCGTAATAAAATGAGCAAAGATGAGTACTCTTTAAACAATAAATAGGCCTATATTTGTATAAAAAACGGTAACTTCGATTTACTTAGAATTGTCAGCACAATTCTGAAAAGTTTTGAGTTCTATGGTTAATGGAATACGTTATTCTATCCTCTACTACACAGGATGGCTTTGCGAATATCTCACATTGCTGCATGATTTTAACGAAACTGGGCGAGGCTGAAGATGAGATTTTTCGGGAAAGACAAATCAATGAAGAGAAATTTAAGCGGCGTCAGAAAGAGCGGCAAGCGATGCAAAAGCAAGAGTACGCACAGCCGGCCTATCTGAGCGCGGGACAGTTTGCGCCTCGAGCCTTGAATGATAGCCCAAGCGCCATTGCAGATGCCAGGTACCGTAGTTATAATTCGGTTAACGCTTGTCAATAAAAATAGAAATAAAACACAAATGGAAATGAGGCTATTTTGAGGAGCCTTATATTACCTGACAAACTGATAGTGGACTTAGTTTGTCGTCAGCCGACTTGTAGAGGGCAAACCTTTAATTAGCTAGGCATACAAGCTCCTAGAAGTCACTTTTATCTTTGTTTCAGGAATGAGGTGTTTAACCAGCGGCGTCAAGCCATGGAGTTCTCTCGTGGACTTCACACTGGAGCTGATTTGCAGTTAATGCTACAGCCCGAGGGCGAGGACAAAAACCGAGGCGAGAAACGCAAACTCAATGAAGAAAAGGAGGAACCGGAGGACGAGGTTCGTCTTTGGGAGGTCGGCTGGAAGGAGCGGTACTACGAGAGTAAATTTGATGTTTCTCCGGAAAACTTATCATTTCGACATGAAGTGGCTGCGTCTTATGCTGAAGGCTTATGCTGGGTCCTTCATTACTACTTTCAAGGCTGTGCGTCGTGGAAGTGGTTCTTTCCTTATCACTATGCTCCGTTTGCATCAGATTTCAGCCAAATCGGAGATCTAAAGATAAGCTTTGAGAAAGGCACGAAACCCTTCAACCCAATGGAACAACTGATGAGCGTATTTCCAGCCGCTAGTCGACAGCATTTGCCTGAACCGTGGGGTGATCTGATGGAAGATCCTGAAAGTCCCATTATCGACTTTTACCCAACCGATTTTCGAATAGATCTTAACGGTAAAAAAGCTGCCTGGATGGGCGTTGCGCTGCTTCCATTCGTCGATGAAAAACGGCTTCTTGAAACGGTTGCCACGGTGAGTAGACATGAAGTTTGGCAACCTGAACACTTTGAAAATGTTCTCCATAATTCAAACAACGCGTGGACACTGTTAACTCCATTTAGAAGAAAAACAGCTGTTGTGGATAGATGTTGGAGAACTGAAAACAGAAAAATTCGTGATATTCGATCCACAGCTCGGTGATTTTCGAGGGAACTAGGTATTCTAATACTAGCGAGTACATGATAGCTAAATTGATAGTTAATAAACATTTTATATTGCAGGTTTATGACCAGTTAACACCAGAAGAACGGCGTCGTAATGCGAGGGGAGACAACTACCTGTTCCTACGGAAAAGTCATAAGGGATACGCATTTTTGAGGGGCCTTTACGAAAATAAGTCACAGCGAATGCTCAATGATACAGTGGAGCACGCGATTCCGCCTGAGTCGTATAACGGTATGGCAGGAACAGCCTTAACTACTGATAAAGTAAGTGTAACTATGCAATTTAACTCATTTCGATCCTGAGTAGTTTCTGTCCTTAGCAGATTTTCAGCCGGTGAGCTGTGAGGTGCGCACGCTCAACCTTGTAGCCATCGTTATGGCTTTCACTAATCAACTTAATGTTAATTCTAGACTTCATGCACGGTCATTGGCCAGTGCTATGCAAATGTCGTGATTTTACGATCTTGTTCTAGGTAAAAAAAAACCTCCATTTTGAACGCATATTTGCCTTACTTTTAATCCATTTTATATTTCCCGCGATTGTTTTTTATGTCGAAACGCATCTATAGGTCGTAGCGGAAAAAGGCAAAGTCTTGAGCCCGATTCATGCATGTCAACCGATTCCAAATAACGTGGCTGTTGTTGTTCGATGGAGAGATCCTGTCTACCCCGACGATCACATCTATCCCGCTGTCAAGCTCCCGGGTGCGAAAGATCCTGAACGCGTGCTTCGTCCAGAAGATCTTGTGGACAACGAACCTCGTCAATGGCGACCGCAAGCAGGAATGGCTAGAAGCAACCAAAGGGCACAGCTCGCTCAAAGCGGTCATCGCATGGTGGAGCACTATGCCAATATTCGACCACCTCAGAATTACGGGCACGGTGGTGGTCAAGACCGCGGCGGTTACGACGGGTACCAACAGCACGGGGGCAGTAACTTCTATCAAAATCAAGGAGGGGAGGTGCCTAGCGGATTATACCATCACCGAGGTGGGGGTGGCTTTTCAGGTGGTAACGGTGGCCGTAGCTATATTACGGGGATAAACCAAGCAGATTACAGGTACAGCAGTTACGGCGGCAGACAGAGTGGTGGCTACTACACAGATTCGTATGGAAGTGGTGGGGGCAGAGGTGGCGCCAGTGGCTATCACCAACAACAACGAGGGACACCAATGCATCAAAGGGGCGAGCACCATCAGCACTATCAGTCGTATTATAGCCAAGGTAACACATATGGCACTGCTGGGGGTCCGAGGCAAACTCGACCGCAACAGGGCTATGGACAGTATAGAGGAGGTGGGCATTTTGCAGGAGGATGGGGTTCTTATTACAGGCAATAATACTGTTATGTACTTTGTCTATTATGTACTGGAATCGAAATTAAAGAAAGCGCCAAAAAAAGGAGTACAAACTGTAACGAATTAACTTTTGATTACTTAATCCAATTGTGTATTTTTTATTCAAAACATTCGAGCGCCATATATATATATATATATATATATATATATATATATATATATATATTATTCGCAAGAATAGTAAAAACTTTCTGAGGTTGTACCTTCAGCGTAGCTAGACCAACTCGAAATACGTCGATGCTCAAAGACATTAAGCGTGTACGTAGACCACTGCTAGGGGCCATTTGTATATATATATATATATATATATATATACAAATATTCAGTTTATATATAATACATCGGATATGATGGTATCTAATGTCCTTTTGAAATCATGCACTACAGGCAATCGTACACCCTCTCATGTGATTGTAGGAAAGTCTTACGAAATATTGCTTGTCATATTCGAAAGAATTTCGAGTTTCTCAAAAGTTTCATCGCACTGTAAATGTATTAAGTAGATGATGCACGAATGCTTTAGCTGCGTGTGACCTTGGCCTACTTAAATAATTAGTAAAACAAGGCATGTGACGTAAGCGCGATTCAGTGAAGCGCCGGTGGATATCTGCATATATTTAAACGATAGTTATAGAATCGTATTGTTGTATGGATTAAAAAGTATACTGCAGTCCGCTCGAACAGTAACTCCTGGGGAGAAGTGACAAATGCAAATGCGTAACGACTGAAAACGACCTATCCTTCGTGTAGACTGCATTGCTATAGACTGTGTGTATATGCTTTACCCGCTGTATCATACGATTGTATATCACGAAGAATAAACAGAACAAAATTGTATATTCCATCGCCTAGTCGATCGAACAATATGCTTGGCTCGTTTACTAGGGTACGTTTTCTTTGATGAAGTGAAAAGAAAAACATTTACATAAAAATTTTTCAAAAAATCAACGGTGTTCCTTACACAATAACGTTTGATGTGTTTCCTCGATATTTTATCATGACAATAAAAATACTGTAAATTCTATTAAAATGCATTTACAGAATAAAAGTGTCTCATGAAGTATACAGTTTAGTTCAACACCAATTGCAATCATCAAAAGATCTAGTTTGTTCTCTTGAAGTCGAAGACTGATATAGTTCTTCACGCTGAAACAAGGTTGCATTTTTGCAGGAAAAACTATACATCGCTTTCAATTAGGATTCGATTATCGTTACGTCTCTCTAGCAAAAAAACTCTATTGCTGAGTGAAGGGCAAACCTACCTAGCTTTTTCGCCTGGTTTTATCTGTCATGACGAACCTTGGCTCATAGTTACGTCGTTTGACTTCAATCTGCTCTGCCCGTAAATATGAGTGGTTCATTTTACGAAATGTTTAATTAAACAAGTTAGACAAGTGCTATTTTGAATCAGGTTCGATTCTACCGCTAAACTTACGGGTTAAGTTGCAATTTCGCTCAACAGCTAGTGTATTATAATTCAGCTGCATATCACCCGCAGATATGTGTTGTCCTGTAAAACGTTTTGTTGTTACAAGCTTAATGGTTGACTACAAACCGTATTAGTTTCTATTTTTGGCAGGCTTTTAGGGTATGCTTGTCATATGGATACTGATGAGTGCTGCAATATAAGCAGACAACCTAAGACTCTACCTTCAATGCAGTGAAAAACAATGAAAAGTTGACCGAACGAGCCGGTAACTAAAATGGCCAAAGTTGTCGTAATCGATTCTTCGTATTAGTGTTTCGTTGCACGTCTGGAAGTACCGATAAAACGAGGCTTCCCAACTCGAAACGTGACTACCAAAGCAGCTGCACCATAAAATGTTAGTGAGATCTCGTTGTTTATAAGTTAGATGATTGAATTAGAAGGCTTCACTATCTTGTAACAAAATTCATGACAGTGTTTTCGGCGTTTTTCGTTTTGATTAGCGGAATACTAGTCTGGACGGGTAATGATGTTCAACGGCGCTCCCTTAGAATAAATGCAGCTAAGAAATAACTATGATGTTCGTAACCTAAATGGACGCATCGCAGACCGACTGCAAAAACTTCTTAATTGATCGATGTAAATTCTGGACGAAGGAGCTCGAGTGGCTAATGCTAACGAAGTGAGGGCTCTATTGCTGTATTTGTTTGTTTTCTGTGCCTGTCTCACAGCAACATATATAATGGATCAAAGAAATCACTTATTGGAGAAATATAAGAGATTTTTAGTGCTACGATTAGACTACATTGTACCCACGAAACAGGACTTCCGCTAAGTAGACGCTAAGCAATGAGACGGTGACACCTTCATGGGTGAAAATTTTTACTGACACAACGGTGATTCTATTAACAACCATTTCTAACTTCAATGAAAGGGTCGGCTACGCTCTATTATAGATACGGATAAACGCTGTGACTTTATTTCATAATTAGCACCTGTAAAACCTGAAATCAAGGAAGTGATGAAAGTGTAAATATCGTTAACTGGTAGTCCAATAATTATTGTTTCTAACTTCTAAATGGAATGTCGCTTACACAATTAGACAGAATCTTTATCATTTAGAAAAAAATAGATAAGCAAATGAGGACCTTGTATTCCACATGTGACGGTGTTCTACAGTAGATAGGTATGCCCTTGAAATAGATCACACGGTGATAGCTAGGCAAAGAAGTTAGATGGTAAAAGTACTGCATCTATATAATTATTGCTATAGGGATTATCGGTAATAGGGCTTAATATATTAAATAATAGAGGTACTAGAATGACAGCGCAGAAGCAACAGTAGAAAGCTAGTTAAACCTAGGAACTAACTGGCCGGCATTATAATAAACAGATTTGTAGTGGCTGTCGTTTAAGAAGACAACGCACTTTTTAGCTCATTAGGTTCAGCTGCACACACAAGTACGTTTGTTTTTAATTTAAAAAAATTCGATTTTTATTGCTGAGATCTGAAATAGTTTGCGAGGTAGCTCTTCCATCATGGCAAAGCCATGAGAAGTTACTGTTTGTTGACATTATCATTACACGGGCTAATCGATGCATTTAATACATGTTCGCTGCTAAGCATATCCTTGTGGGAAAACTACAAGATTCGAGCAACTTATATCCAAACGAATACCTTATAATAACTGTTTTTCTCTAATTATCTATTCTCGATGCTGGAAGCAGGGGATCGAACCGCGAAGCCGAAAGGTTAGCAAAATGCAACACCGGCGAGAAACGGTCAGAAACCGTGAGGAAGTCCCCCTCAGTCCCACAGGGTGAAAGGGGGCAGCAAGAAAATAGTCCAAGGTCTGCAAGAAAAAGGCTAAGGACACATAACAAAGAAGGCGAGAAGTCACCACGTATGGAGAGTAGTAGAGAAGACAGTGAAGAGAAAAACGAAACAAATGAGAGATATGAATTCGGTAAAAAAAGCACAAGCGGTACGAGAGGATCGACGAGTAAGGTATCTGATACGGCTGCTCCGCTAAGTGAAGTCAGTACACACAATAAACAAGATGAGGCAGAGCAAAATACTGATAAAGTCGGCCCGTGTGAAGTTACGGGGTACAACACTAGAACTTCTCACATATCCCACAAGGCAACCGGTAGGTTGATTACGTATGTGGTTTGCGACCTACATACATAGGATTTACCTCATTGTACTAGATCGAAAATGGGCTTCAGCAAATTTACAGTTCACAACATAAGTGTGTAATAAGCAGCAATTTTAAAAACTAAGCTGATTTTAGATTACACCATGAGAGCGGATACAGTTGTTGTGGTCAATCGATCGATTGAATCGCGTAGCACCAAAAAGTAGTGCACTCTTTAAACTTTTCTATATAAAGTTTTTATATATTACTGTTTTGGCGTTCCCTTGGAAACAGAGCTAATGAAAGCTGAGTACGCGGCAGATGCGGAACTACATGCAGCGATGTCCGAGGAACGAGATACGATTGTCGGGTTGCAATCGATATCAGACAAACACAGCGCTGAAGTGGACCGTCATCGGTTGGCTGTTGAAGCACTAAGTAAAGAGGCTGAACGACACAACGCCGAGGCCGAACAGCACATGCTGGAGATGGCACAGCATGCTGAGAAGGCCATAAGGCACCGGCTTGAAACGGACCGATGCGAGATGGAGGTCGACCAAGTCCGAATGGAACAACGCAAGCTTAAAGTTAAAATATTCGCGTGCTCGAAGCGGGCACAACAATTGAAGGTTGAGGAGACACAGAAACTTATGGAACTGCAGGAGCATAAAACTGTGGCCGAGCGACATGTTACAGAAGCTCTGCGGCATGTCAGCGAAGCTCAGCGGCATGTTACGCAGGTACGTGCACGACTCTCAGACGTGCACCAACACTTGACGGACGTCCAGCCGCATTTAATGAAGGTACGAAAGCATATGACGGAGATGCAGCAGCGACTTGGTGATCTGCAGCAGGAGACGGGCGATTTGCAAGGCCGAGTGTCGAACGGACGCGAATCCACAAAGCTACAACATCGACCAGGAACAAGCCCGGCGGAGACATTAGGTGGTAGATTACTGAAGGGAGCAGCGGCAACTGATGTTGACACAGCGCGAAGGTCAGATACAGCCGCACAAGCTGTGTTGGTGCACATTCATGTTTGCACCTGTGGGAACCGCATCGATTCAAATCAGATAGATGGTGATAATCATAATGGCGGCAACAACTAGCGAAAAAAATTATTAAGAAATACAAAATCCTTTCAGTTATAATTAGACGTGTTGTCTACATTTTTGTTGTTTTCGTTTCCTACTACCAGTGTCACATGTGTGTTCTAATATTAGATGGTTACTTGAATTATGTAATTTTAGGTAGTAGTAGATCTATTGGCTGATGTGCTTGCTTCCTTTTTAAACCAAAACAACACGGGGCTCAAACTTTGGCATTCCTATACGCTGTCTATAAATTTTTTTGCTATTCTTTTTGCTTCGTTTCATAGTCATTCGCAATATAATTCTTATTTTTAAAAAATATAATTCTTATTTTTAAAATCAATGTAAACATGAAACCTTTTTCCTCTCGGATAGTCACGTAAGCATTATGAGCATACTATTTCGGTGTTCAACTATTAAATAGTTCTTAAAAATTATGTGGTTGTGGAGAACATTAGCTAGTTGGTCCAAAACTTTTATTTCGAATCTGTTGCCTGTATATAAGTTGTATACTATTAATGACATACAGCGAAGTCGAGCAGTCCCTTTGGCTATGAATTGATAATTTTCTAGCGGACTCTAAGTAAAGAAGTAATTGTCGGTTTACAGATGTCTTCCATTGCCACATCGTAAAGAGCTTTCTATAACTTCCGATAATTGCGACAACTTATCGTTCTTATTCTACGCCTTGGAGGTCGGGCGTAATATTTACACGTTCCGTTTCTCCATAACTCTACTACCAAACAATAAGTTGGTTTTTTTTTTATCTAAGACTTCAGTCGATAATAATTCAACGTTATGATCGCGTGTCGATAAAGATTGATATTAGCACACGCTTGCTCACTAATTTTGATTAAAGGTTGGAAATATCGATTGATGCCTGAACATTCGATTCAATGTAAAATGGTCGCTTAGATAAACACTTCAAAGAAATTATATCGAAAAGAAATGCAGCAGTACAAATTTTCGGCTACGCGGCTTTATTAAATCTTATTGCATATCATATATATATATATATATATATACAAGGAGCTAGGGACTTCCGATATATTCTATAATTATAACAAGCATGCTTACACTTGATTAGATCTCGCGTGCGCACTGCTCGATTTCCCACATTCTCTGCTAACGAGGATACCAGCCGGGGCCCCTCTTTGCACGCTCCGCTGCAGTCACGCGAATGAATATATAATGCAAGTAAGCACCCAATAAACGACCAGGTGCTATGAGGGCGATTTCCGATATGAGCTTCAACCAAGAACTAACTGGCCACATTCCCGATGCGGCCGTACATATGAGCTGGCCATCCAAGCCAAAAGATGACATCATCCTATAGAGTCGAACATAACAATCAAAGCAACAAAATATATACCCGAGTTAAATTGCTCTTAACGTACCATAGGGGAGGATCGAAACTTTATGCTGAGAGCCAATTGTGGAAACGGCTATGACGATGAAAGCTAAATCTGAGTCCCTTTCGACACTAAACATACGCTAAAGGTACGCTACGAATACGTAGAAAATAAGTCACGTAAAAATAACCACCCGTTGAACTACAGACATGTTAGATTACATTTTCGATTGTTATTTTCTCACCTCCTTTTGCATAAGTCCTCTATGATACCCTTTGCGACAGTGTCTGGCTTCTTAATGCCGGCGAGACGTGAAATGGCGACGGTCTCTGCGGGCTTGCCAACATTCTCATTTTCAAATCCTGGCGTTTCGGTGTCAGGGGGAAACACGACCATGACGTGCAAACCTAAAACGGAGAAATAACTAGGTCTGATTCTGTTCACTTACTAAATTCAGACATGTATCTCTTCACTCATTTTGAGAAAACTTCACTGCTCAGTCCAGCCAACGAATTCTGCCAACTGTTCTCCCTTCATGAAGCGCTCTATATAAAGCATACTAATTCAGTGTGACCCGAAGTAAGAAAGTTGGTCTGCTTATTCTTAATCTTTACTATATTATGGTGATGGCCTGCATTACGTTCTCCTGTAGGCTATCTGTAACAACAAGGAAGTAAGGCAAGACATTTACCTAGGTGTTGTTTCTCAGCTATAACCGTTTGTGCAAAACCGGAAATCGCAAATTTTGCAGGCGAATACGCGCTGTATCCAAAGACGCCCATGATGCCAGCCATAGAGGATAAAAACACAATAGAGGCTGAACCCTGGCTTACGCATCTCCTCTCCAAACTCGAAAGGCAAGCCTGCAATTTAACTTATTACATCGGATACGAATTGAGATCTAAATTGCACCACTCAATGCGCTTGCATGTAAAAAACTAAAATAATATTCCAATGCGTCTTTGATATTTAATTTGAAGTCAACGAACGCCAAGGCTCACCAGCTGGGAACTCACCTTACCTCCTATGTACTTTTATATGACAACCGAGATTATTATATCTTATAGCCTATTGACCACCTACTCTCTGCTTGTGCTTTTAACAATAAAAAATGGACATTACGCGCAGGAGTGTCTTTGAGTGATGAATAGAGCCATTTATGGATAGAATAAAAAACTGTTTGACAATTACAAATATACCCTATTGTTTTTTAGCTAAGAAAGATACTTAAGAAAAAGAAAGAACAACTCAATCTTATATACCCTACTGTTTTCTAGCTAAGAAGGATACCTAAGAAAAAGAAAGGATAATTCAATCTTAAGTCAATCTTGCAAACTAACCTTGGTCAGATTTACAGCAGTGTGGTAGTTCGAATCCATCATTTGGCGATACATGAATTCCGTGGTCTCTTCGATGTACCGTGCTACTGCAGTGCCCGCACAGTTAATAAGAACGTCAATGTCACCTGACAGAAAAGCGTTCCGAAATAGATAAGATCCATAATGCGGCTAAAGCAAAGAAAATATTGCTTTCAATCAAATCGTAGTGCTTGAACTAAACTAACTCGAAGGACCGTTGACCTAACGAAACGCAAAATAACAATTTTTGTTAAATACTACGGTTAAGTGGTTCAAGTCAGCTTTGTACAACGCTGCATTTGATGCTACCTGAAATGAAAAAAGAGCCCAAATATTGAAATCTATTCCACTTTATCTATCACCTATTTTGGTCAAAACTAACATAGAAAGGAAGCACCATAAAACCAATGAAATATCGCCAGAAAGCTTAATTTGTGCGACAGTTACCTTGAGCTCGAATAGCCGGAGCGATAGCCTTTTTGATTGCAGAGATATTTGACGATAAATCGACGGAAACGTATCTGTAAAAGTCACTCTGTAGGTTCTAGAAATTACAGTTTGGCACGTATATACATATACTGAATGCGCTCATGTTTCATTCATCAATTTTCTATGGGCAGACAATCCTTATAATTATATTAAAGTCTGTACTAATTTAAAAACGTTTTACTCAGATGTAATCGTCTTGATTTCTAACGATGGTTGGTTCAAATATTTATTAATTTATGCGAATGTAGTTTAGGTAATCGGGAATTTATCTAAAACGGTATTAATATAATTAAAGCGAAAATAACGATTCCGATAATGAATTTTGTTGTGTCTGCATAAAGAGCATCTAAGGTTGCTAGATACCCTATCATTTAAAGGGGAAAGGAATATATTTTAGGAATAAGAAAAACACTTGACTCGTAATGCGATATCCTCAGTCGGACCAAGGACAGTCACGAATGCAGGTATAACTGTACAATGGGTTCTATCATATTATATACGAATAGTGACCTACCCAACTTTATCACTATCGATAGCCACAGCTTCAGCCGCCATTCTGAGATTGTTCTCGTTACGCGCCACTAGGGTTACTCTTGCCCCTAGCCTGAAAGCTTCTTTCGCCAGTTCTAGTCCAATGCCAGAAGAGCCACCTGAACTCAATGAATGCGTAGATAAGTACAAAAAAACGACAGTTCAGGAACGGTCTTTAAATAAAGGATTACTATGGTTGGAGATTTGAGAGATTTACTGCAAAAAAATACCTTCGAAACAAGTTTACCGATTAGTCCTTTTCGGACAGCTCAATATTGTCGTCAACATAAAACAAAGAATCTACAAGATCTTCTCAGCACATCTTCTTCATGCAGTTTTCCATAGGACAAATGCTTTCAGAACTACCTATGAAAGCTTTGTTGGCCTGCTGTACGTTATGCCCAGAGGGTGAAGGGAGTGGCCTTCTGCACGGGATAGCCCAGTGTGATGTGCCTGATTACTTTCGGCTAGCTTTTAAAAACAAAGATTTAAAAAACTTTATCAGAAAGATGCAAAGGTTCGCATAGTTCTTATGCCAATCGAAAGAGTTGAAGGAACAAAAACAGATAAGCTAGAGATTTTCTAACAGTAAAAGATCTCGTGCTTATAGCCAGGGTGGCAAGAATCGCCGGAACAGAGGTTGTTTAGTAGACGCTAGCACTGATCTGCTAAATTGGTAACGCAAGGTGCCTACTATAGGCACCTTGCGTGCCTGAGTAAATCTAAAAAGGCAGACTCGCCTTTACCACGCCAAAAGAAGGTTGATGTTAATACACCTATAACATTTTAGCAGTACATATATTGGTAATATTAATGGCAGTGCTATGTTATAATTATTGTACAAACGTACATCAGTTTATTCATGACGAAGTCATAGACAACTTCCCATGAAAACATCTTGTTTAGTCCTTTTAGTTCAAACAGCTCCTAATACGGTTGACGTCTTTCCAGTGCAGAGCGCGTTATCCCGTATGTTAAGAGAGTGAGACATATTATCGGATGGTTATAACGTACTAAACATGTCAAAATTTGTCTTAAGGTCCAGTTCAACTATAGGTTAAAGAAATCTTTCAAATCTATCTCAATTCTAGAAGCAACTCCGTGAGCAAATCGATTCTCTACTCGTTCAGTCGTATCAATATGTTTCCTCATCTAAAGTCGCCCATCTTTGGAATAATGTCAAAATTAGAAAACAACAAGACTTAATATACTAATTTTAAATATTGAATTTTTAATTAAAAAACATAGGAAATTAAAGAAACTGTAATTGACGTTGATCTACTTATGTGACTAATATAGGGATAAAAGTCAAGCTCCAGCATAGTTCTAATTCCTAGATATTTCATCGAACGCCCTGCAGAAGATATCATATTAAATTATGTGTCTTTGTTCGTCTGTATGTAATACAATACAGCCATACATTTTTGGACAGAGATGAGTATATTTGCTAAGCACCACGTGGACACAGTATCGATTGTCCAATGAAGTAAGAAACGATCGTCATTACTAGGGGAACCGCATAACTTCAAGTAATCTGCATACAATTTATGTCGGACGCCGACTGCAAACATATTCTTCATATAGAGAACATATTGGAGAAAGTGAGATAAACCTAGGAACACCCAAAAAGCATGCTTCTCTAGAATTGACGGTGTCATCCATTTTGACATGAAAACCACGGTTCGTCAGATCTTTTCTAATTCAATTTATGAAGCAATGATATATCCCCAGTTTAATGAGCTTCGCAATTAATAAATCGAGCTTAGCTCGGTAAAATTTTTTTACAAGTCGAGGTCGATGAAGTCGAACCTCTTGCAGTAATTTTGAAGTAATGCTCGATTTTAAATCATTATAACAAACTGTGGTTTACTCTTTGTGGATACATTTTGGTTACAAAAAGTATTGATACTAAGTAAGCCACAATGTAATCGACTATGATTATTCTTGACTTGTGTAGGTTACAGACTCTTAGGATATCCAAAGGTACTTATTCACTAAGAACTTTTTAACTTTAAGAGTTTTTTCCTAATCTTTTTCAAATTGTCAGTTGACACCGAATGCAGATGAGGTTTTAATAAATAGGTTAACGTTCACTCTATACTAAAGACTTTTACAAATGTATATGTTTGGAGCTTACTCAATAACGTCTTTACCTGAGATGAGAACATGCTTCTCTTTGAGACTCTTTCTATCAAGTTTGTGCAAGATGACTGCGGAGAGAAGAATACCCCCCAATAAGCCAGCAACAAATATGAAGAACATATTGGATATCGCTGTTGTGCTGTGTATATGCAAGAACTTGGACGACTGAAAAGAAACAAATGACAGACATACATAATTATTGTGTTATATACACATATGTATTATATATTATTATTATTGCGGGGTTTAACTACTATGAAAAAAACAATTTGAAACGTGATTTCTTCCTTCAAATAAGTCGGTAAAAGCTGTTTGTGTATATTACTTTTTCATTTTTTGGGAGCCTACTATCGCAGCGTAGGAGCCACCCATAAAAAGAGAGCCCAGCTGGTTCAATAGGTGACGGATTATTAAATAGTTGTGCAAAGTTTTGTAAATATCTGTTTTCGTGACTAATAAGATTTTCCCCTAAAGGATTAATTAATAAGGGGTTGTTAACTTATCTTAGTCTTGAATAATATAATTTATTTTACATGAGTCCACACGAGATATCCCAACATCCCAGGTGAGTTCATTACTGTTTGAAAAACACGTATATTTATAGACAGTACTATAAACATAAAGAGATATTGTACACATATTTTTGGCGACGCAATTGAAAAAGCATACTCTAGCTTTGTAGCATTCATCTATATAAATAATACAGATTGAAATTTGTATCTTCCATAAAACATTGTTTCGTCCGTTGTCTATAACTAGCCGTCGTTCGATTGGAGGGTCCTTTTTTCAGTCGCATACAATAGCGGAGCCATTTACTATCTGATTATGTTTCTGTGGTTTACCTCCGAAACTGGCTGTGCGATTAATGGCTGTCGTTAACACTGTTGTTTAGATATTAACTACGCCAGTTTTCGATTCAAAGCCCAGTTGCGTCTAACTTTCAAGCTGGAAGCCACAGCCGAAGCTCAAAATACATCAGTAAACGAAGAAGACATTACTATGCGTTTCTATAAACTCTTTTTTTAAGCCGACAGAGTGTGCTGAGACCATGCAATTAAGGATCGCTAAACAAACAAAGCTTTGGGAGTTTTTGTAATGAAGAAAATAAAATAGAGTGCATACTTTTATTCACTATAAATTTGATGAAAATTTCAATCAACAAGAAACATTATCTCTTTCGCAGCTTTGTTTTTTCTTGCCACATTCATTCTAACAGCTAATAAAACATTTAGCGGTTCACCTTATTTTGTTGCACTAGAACTAGACCAGCAAAGTTCCTGTCGTCTTCCACACGCACTCGGGCGTGATTTGCTTAAGAACTGATTTCACAACTGAAACAGTGGGCTTTCACACAGGTACTAGCTTCGCCTTTACACAGATCATAACAAAATTGACAGGCGGCATTATTTAGAGATGGTCATTAATACCGCTGAGACTCGTTAACTCTGCCGATAAAACACTTGATAGTGCTACCGCCACCACCGCTTCGGAACACTTCATGTGGCGGTTATCTAAACGTATGAACGCATTCTCTCGCTGCTGACAACGGGCGATTCAAGCGAAACAACTGAGGAAATTAATCTTCTGGCGAGTGTAAATTGCAGTTGGCCGAAAGCCATATCCAACATGAGTTGAGCAAGCCTAATTAAATTTCGGAATCAGTTTCTCGTGCGTCTAACGGCGTTTAATGAATAGATATACTACTAACAGAAACAACAAATGAAACTAAAGATAATATTTTCATATTGAGAACTATTCGGTAGTTCTCAATTCGCGCAAAAATACCGCAGACAAGATAGCCACAAATGATATGCGTAGATACCGAGCGAAATGACTAAATAGGAACAATCGGCAGACCTGTGTCTTGGATGTATTGAAATACTTATTCTTTGTTACTACGACAAATTATATAGCATTTACCATCGTTGGTAAAACAGAACTTCTCTGGCGGAAAATTATGATCATCGGTGAGCCGCTTGAACAATGCTGGCATTTGGTAGGACGTGGAATAGACCAACACACATCCGACAAATGGCCATAATACATATTGGCATTGTTATTATTGTTGTTGTTATGTGCATATAAAGAGACCAAAGTATTCGGCATTCTATCTTGAGATGAATTCAGCAGAACCGTTTCGGACATCGAATATTTACTATATCAGGTCAGACGTCCGGCGCAGACTCAACCAAGAGAAGACGGTCCGTTTGGGTCCCAGCATTGGGATTCGTTGAGTCATTGACATTGAGCTCTATATGACGGCAGATACAAATAACACCGACTAACATCCATGTTAGCACGCAGAACGGACAAGAATTGCGTATGGATTTGCACTTGAAGGTTGATCAGACAAACGCTAGACGAGTGATTTCGTAAAATACTGCGAATCCTTAAGTACTAGCGGAATTTTTACAGCAAAAGTAACTTGAGGCACCTTTATTGTCGGCCTTGCCCTTGAACAGTCGCAATATCGCCCTTGGCGACAGATGATGCTAGGACCACTCGTTATACGATATCGCGTGCTCTCAGTGTGCACTTTACTTGCTGGATTAATGTCGGATCGATGTTCTTGCTGATAACCAACTAGATAACTATGTCTTCGGCGGCGTCAAGTGTAGACTGAGGATCGTCACGAAATGCAACGAAGCCACTGATTGTCGCTCCTTGATAGAGGAGTCAGAGGAGGTAGCACGAAGGCCATTAAGATGCTGCCATTGGCTTTTTTGTTCGCTGTCTGTAAACGAACGTCGACGACAGCAAGCGACTCATAGCCTTTCTGGTTGCTACAATTGATGCAAGCAATGCATCGAATGGCTTCACTCAACCTCGTTGTATAACCCCGTTTCAGGAGTCAAAATGATTCTGGGTTAGATCATTAAGTACTCACAAAGACTACTGTTAAGATTGTATGGTATGCTCCCTTTCACGGAACTCTCATTCGTTCTATGTATTTTTAATTATAATGTAGACTTAATAGAAGAAAACAAGCTCATAGAATACCTAATAACAAGTAATAAAGTGACCATACTTAAAAGACACTAATTAAATGAAGTAAAACAAGAAAAAAAAGTAGTCTTTAGTTTCTTAAGGCGGACATAAAGTAGCAGATTCGTGTGGTCCTTGTGGTATTCCAAAATTAGGCTTTAAGACTATTTTTATTTCGAGTATTAGTGTGTATGAAGACAGTATAAGTATATTTGAGAAACCATGTGAGTAATACCTCAGAGCGATTTTGTATTATGAGTGCAATATTACCTTCCGCTTTTAACCCTTTCGCAGAGAAACGGCTTTCAAGCTTATTACAGAAGCCTTAGCTTTCTGGTATACCATGGTTCGTGTCCTTGGATGAGCGTCACTTTCAAAAGCACTCGTTCGACGACATCTTGAAATATAGTGAGCACGATTCTCCTGAAGTATGCAAATCGCATATAACCAACATATGCATATTTAGACATATCTAGATGCGCTCGCAATGGTAAAAGCAAGGTTCCTCTTTACCACTTTTCACATTATGCCACATTAGCAAGTTAACAGTCGTTGAAGTTTTCCTTATTTGCAAATGCTCCTCTATTACAGAACCAAAAAATAAGTACACCAATTAAAGCGTAGTCAGCATTAGGCAGTTCAATAAACTCATATCCATTCACTAAAATCTATGTGCATGATATTGTCACATCGGGCCGGCACGTACGATCATGTTAATAGAGACATAGCTGGATGGAGTGAATACGTGAGTAACTCTTTGACATCTTAAAGGCCTCAGGCTAATTGAATGAATCCCATTGAAGGATTGACTATCTCTTGCAACGGTGTTTGCCCGCTCCTAAAACTTAAAGCCGACAAGAGAGCGTACCCTGCCTCAGGCACGACGGGCTTCTTCCTTCTTAAAGCAAGCGAACTTTGCGAATTAGTGTAAGAGTCCCTTGAGAACAATAACATCATTCTTACTAGTAAGCATCATTTAGCAATATATGAAGGCAGGTGGCGAAAAAGCGTTTTAGAGAAACGTACTCTCTTTCATTATGCGCTCAAGTTCATAGGGAGCGAAAGGAGTACGTCAAGCAAAAAAAAACAACACGTATATCCGAAAATTGCAGGCGTTCGTTGTATACTGCTAAAACAGCAATTAAACGATCATTGTTCATTAATCTAATTATATCAGCCATATGATTATACATTCAGCCCAATCGATTAAGAAACGAGGAAAAACGCCAATCTGAATACTCCATCCGACGTTATGAATAGCAATAAACTAGTAGATTCAGTGTCGTGAGTGTTTAGTCCTTAAGGTGTTAATTTTTTTCAAAATTGGCTAAAAGTCTTTCGAAAGTTCGATTAGTTGCAACAGATGAATTGTGTAGTTTCTCTAAATCGGTTCAGTAAAATCAAAGCGTTATCAGAATAAATGTCCATTTTGGATAAAGAATTTTTAAATCCTCAATGCATTTGTTGCAAGTGGTCTCTTCCGCTACGTTTAGTCAAGAGATCTGTTTTTCATACAGTAACCTATATAACTTTGGTATCAATGAATAGTCGTTACAAATGCGGATCGAGTAGGGTAATATAAATATTTATATATAAAAAAAATCATTTCGAGGTAATCTAATTTGAGTTTTAAAAGTAAATATCTCGAGATCCGACTATTTCAGGCATGTTACTAGGGCGGAAGCTAATTATCCATAAAGATAATGGCGAGAAACAGCCTTAATTAGGGTATATACCCCTATGGTCTTGGTTAGCTATCTTACTAGTAAAATCGTCGCCAGTTATAATTACGTTAATCCCTGACGATTCCATTACCGTAGCCTAAATGTTATGTGCAATAAAGATGAACTTCATCAATCATCAGTTTTATCAATCTCTAAAAAACATAACTCATGCTCATCCATTCTTTTTGTCCTGGGAATAATGAGAATTTTAGACAAAGATATGCATTTATAATAAATAGATGTATTACAAGTTTTGTTTACTCACTATAGTACTATTACTATATTCCTATTAATAGTGTTTAGGATTCAAAATTAAACATTTTTATTATAATAATTTTTCTAGGGCTTTAAATATTGAATTTCTATTATTCTATCGATGGGCTGTCTAAATGTATGTTGAGAATAATGCCGATAACATAACAGAAATCTCATTAGGTCCCGAACCTATTTCATAAAACTATTCATCCAAACGAACGTATTACAAGCATGTTAATAGAGAATAAGCGATTACTGCGGTCGGCGTATCCGCGTGACATTTATACAGACGGCCAAATGATGATTTCTGATGCGGAGATACGCTACCGTATGACCTAATAGTTTTCTCATTGCTTTAAACGCTTAATTACAAGCAGTAGCGCTGACAACGACACCTTCAGTACTAAAGGAGAATAATAACATTCCATGTTTCCTATAGATATACTTGACAACTCACCTTATTGCTGTAAAATCAGGCCCATTTATATTATCATGACACCTTGGGGACGTCGTTAAATAGGTTGCAGAGTATATAAGTCTGGCATACCTGTGTGAATGGATTCTACTATGTTTTCGAGCAAGCTTATTACATATACCTTTCGAAAAACCGGCGAAATGAGCTTCTGCAAGACGTTGACCGCCATCAGCACAGAAATACGGGTCGTCTAGAAACCTGACGATGGTCCAGGCCGATACTGATGAATTCGTGCTGACGAAAAGTCACCGCCGACTCACTCAGTCCAATGGCTTTTATCTTCGTACAAGAAACCGGCCGAGTGGATAAACAGAAGCAACAGAAAAAAGTACATATTGTTTTAGCCTAATGCAGCATAATCACTTCTGTTTATTAAGTACGTTGTGCACACTGCCGGAAGGACATCAGCAGTAGCACCGACAGCGGTTGGCAGAGAGACTGTCTTAAAAGGGTGTCGTAAGATCGAAGCGTGCTTCTGCCGGGCGAGAAGTGATAGTGTTTGCTATTTCTCCCCCGCCCATACTTAATCCTAAACCCCTGATAAACTGGTCCTGCCATTAGCTTGCCTGGGGAGCCTTTAGCATAGGTCAAGAGGTTGTCTTTCGCATCGACGACGGTGGAAATTGATGACTATAAGTACTATGGAGAAAAAGCGAACTGAAGGTTACTCGAGGTAGCGAAGGGCAAAACCTTGTCACTTGATAAACATTGCGGTCATCAGCACCTGGAAAGAAGTCACGACGAGCCAATCAGTAGAGGCACAGTTGTGCAAAAACGGCTATATCATAGCTGTTAAATTCTGCCTGATCAATAGCAGATCGAAGTCGTGCAATTAGCGGGATGAATTTTTCTCATTGCAAGATTCATTCGATTGAACTAAAGCTCCTTGATTACATGTTAGTTTGCTTCAACATAGACGACTAAGCGAATAGGTTCACGTTTCTACCATTGTAATATTAATAGTAATGATACAATTGATGTAATTTCTCGTATCTACAACTTGAGGTGATGTTGAGCAGGCTCACCCTTTCAAATATGCATTCCTTACGAGC